AGCCCGGATGAGAGGGCAGTAGAAGGCATCTGGCCTTCGGTAATGGACACACTGGAGTTCAAATTTCCCCTCTGCTGGGAGTAAGTCAGACCGCCTTGGGCAAGCTGCCCTCGCCCTGTGCTCCATCCTGACGTGGGAATAACAACACCCACTCTCGTGGCAAAACCGAAGGGAAATCAGGGGAGGGCAAACGCTGAGCCTAGCAGGTGCTCAGCCTGGGCTGTGCCGCCTCCTCCCTTAGGGAGTAAACAGGGCCGTGCGCACAACCACCCCAGCTCCCTGTCTATGCCGAGCGCTTTCCATGAAAGCGGCTTATTGAATCCTCTGGTTTTCCTAATTGCATCTCACATCCTTGTGAGGCCAAACACCAAGCAACCCTGGATTCAGGAAATGTGATGGGTGGGGCGAGCCTTTGTGCATAGCGCATTAAGCTGCCACTTGGGACGCCCATCTCCCACGTAAGCCAGTTCAAGGGGTTGTTCGAGACCCAGCTGCTCCACTTCCAATCCAGCTCCCTGCTAATGCGCCTGGGAAACAGCAGGGAATGGCTGGAGCACTTGGGTTCCTGTCACCCACGAGGCAGGACCAGACGGAGTGCCCGGCTCCTGGCTTCCTGGGTTCAGCTTGGCTGAGTCCTGGCTGCCACAAGCATTTGGGGAATGAACCGGGACATGGGGGTTAGCTCTTGTGCGCTCTGTCTCTCTCTCTCTCTCTCTCTCTCTGTGTGCGTGTGTATGAGACTCTGCCTTTCAAATAAATAAATAAATTTTTGGCGGTGACAGTGGTGTGGCAGGCCACCATCCTTTCGGGGACACAGGCCCTGGCTTCCCTGCCCAGGTCTAGGAAAGTGGGGAGCGGAGAGAGCATTGCAGGCCCACCGGCAGCCACGCCTGCTGGGGGAGACAGTGTTTATCAAGTGCCTGCTCTGCTCAGCGCCAGGCAATGTCTCACATGCGTTTCTCCTTGACTCCTCCCGATACTGCGCCTTTTCCCCCCACTGTCCACTGCAGTAAATGCTGGCCCAGAGAGGTTAAGTGAGTTGCCTGAGGTCACACAGTTACTGAGAGGCAAAGCCAGGATCCAGAGGGAGGTCTTGGTGCCCCATCAACCCATTACAATGTGATGCCCGAGGCCAGAAACCTGGCTGGACTTGGCAGCAGCTTGAGAACCTGTCTTGCCCAACCTCTCAGCTTCAGGCTGAAGAAACAGGTGTTCAGGGAGGTCAGGGAAATAGTTTGTAGCACCTGAAAGCAAGCCAGGGCGTGAGCCCAGCGCCTTCTCTTGCACCGTCTTGGGGTGGCTTGAGGAAGTCCGCGGGCTGGGCCGCAGGGGCACTGACCGCAGGCACGTGCTGGCCCCCGATCCAGGGACCCCAGGACCAGGATCTCCCCGAGTGTGAAGTGGGGCCAGGAGGGGCTCCCTCACTGCCAACAAATGTTCCCCTGCTCCATCACTCGCCCCGCTAAGCTCCTACTATGTGCCAGAGCGCCTACTATGTGCCAGAGCGCCTACTATGTGCCAGGCCTTGGGTTTGCAGATGAGAATAGATGGCCGTGCCCTCCAAGCAAAGGAATGGTCTTATCCATGCAAGGTGGGTCACGCAGGCTCGGGGAGGTGACTTGGCCAAGGCCACACTGGTGGCAGAGCTGGGGCAAGCACCCAAAGCAAAGCCAGCACTCTTGCCTCTACACAGGGTGTCTTTTGGCCAAGGAAAGAGGAACCCAGCAATTAAGAAAGGCAACAGAGAGTGACCATGGGATTTATTGTCCAAACAGGACACTTCGGAGAGTCAAGGAAGTGTTGTTAAGAATGACACCAAGCTGGGCTGGGCATGGTCACGCAGTGTCACTGCTTGTGAGGCCGGCCTCCCAAATCCCAGTCCCAGTGTGAGTCCTGGTTCCTCCACTTCCAATCCAGCTGTCCCCAACGCACCTCGGAAGCTTCAGATGGCCCAGGCACTTGGGGCCGTGCCACCCATGTGGGAGACCAGGTAGAGTTCCTGGCTTCTGGCTTCAGGCTTCAGCCAGAATGGTCTTCAACTTGCTGTTGAGACCATTTAGGGAGAGTGAACCAGCATATGGAAACTTTCTCTCTCTCTCTCTCTCCTACCCCCCACCATTCCATCTTTCCAGTAAATAAGTAAATCTTTTTTTTTTTTTTTTAATAGTTACACTAAGACAACAGGCATGAAGGAGGCAGTCCCAGGCAAACTGGGACTCACGGTTGCAGGCAGTGTCAGCCTGTGCTATGCGGGGCGCAGGGAGAGGAACCGCCCACCTGCACCAACCTGAGCAGTGATGCGAGTGTCGCACTTCCATGTCACAGCCTCAGAAACTGAGGTTTGGGAGGGTGCTGACACCTGCTGAAGACCCCAGCACTGACAGACAGCTGCAAAAGACATGAGCAGATGGGTCCTGGGTCTTCCGGAAGGAAGTGACAGCAGGGTGAAGACTTGGGTGGGGTGTGGCAGGTGTGTGTCCTCCGGGATGGCGCATGGCAAGCTGGTTGTCCGATAGTTTTAATGTTACCTCCCTAGAGAGCAAACTGTTGAAATACTTACTTAAGGTATACTAAGCTGATCTTCTGTATATTAAGATAATCGAAAATGAATCTTGATGTGAATGGAAGGGGAGAGGGAGTGGGAAAGGGGAGGGTTGTTGGTGGGAGGGACGGTATGGGAGGGGAAGCCATTGTAACCCATGAGTCGTACTTTGGAAATTTATATTCATTAAATAAAAGATAAAAAAATAAATAAATAAATAATACTAATACTGTATGTTTAAAAAAAAAAAAATGTTACCTCCCTAGAAAGGGACCAAAGGCCAGCCCAGGGCTCCAGGGGATGGGCGTGGGGAGGAGGTTGTGTAGCCTGGAAGGCCTCTCATTCCTGGAGCCACCGGGAGCTAGAAGGAGCCATTGTGTGGAGCTGGGCCTCTCCGAAAAGGAGGCCCTCGGCTTCCTTCCTTCTTTCCTAAGCTGGCTCACAAGCAGGCAGTGTGGGGCATAAGAGACACAGCGAGCAAGGCCCAATCAGATGGGAAGCCGTGCCCGGAGCCGGATGGAACCAGGAAAGGCAGATCAAGGTGGCCTGCAGGCCGGCCCAGGCAAACCCGGCCAGACCCGGCCATGGGAGGGTGCGGCAGCCGGCCCCCCGCCCCCGCCCCTGCACGGGGCCTGCAGTTCTGGGCACTGAGTGCACAGGCCCCCCTCCCAGTCCTCTGCTTTCTAACAGGAAGTCCCTTCCTGTTTCTGTGTTTCCCCCTTGGCCTGCACCCAGCCCAGAGCTGAGGGTGACTTTCAGGAACCTGTGATTGTGAAAAAACCCAACCACTCCCAGCCAGCTGTCTCTAACCACCTGGGGTGAGGTCCTGTGACTCCCGCAGCAGGGCCTGGGGCTGTCAGGATGAGTAAGAGTTTAGGGTCCCAGCAAACCTCTCCCTAGCCCACCCCCACCCAGCCCCTGGGCTGGGGCGGGGCTAGGAAGACCCCCACCCCCAAGGAAGACTTCAGGAGCGATGATAGCTTCCAGGCTTTCACCTGTGGGCTCTCCTGTGCGTCAGGTTTTTATATACACAGCTGTCAGCCAAGCTGTCTGCAATACAGACCTCATTTTATCAATCGTGGGTGCCTGTTTATAGATTATTAAAAAAAAAAAAAAAAGCCCACGGCTCAGAGAGGTGAGGTGAGTTGCCCAAAGCCACACAGCAGGAAGTCAACAGAGCTGAGTTTTCTGGCTCTTCTATGCTGTAGCCAAGAGGGCCCTTTAGAAGAGGTGTTCCCAGCTGGACCAACACCCGCATTAGCGGGGTCCTCTTGGGAGGGCTCAGGGGTAACTTGTGGTTGTCACGGAGGATGACCCTGGGACACAGGAAACCCACCTGACACACTGCTGGCTCCGTTCATTTTCTTTTCCTTTTTCCTTTTTTTTTTTTTTTTCCTAATTTATTTGAAAGGCAGATATATAGAGAGAGTGAGAGGAAGAGAGAGAGTCTTCTATCCACTGATTCACTCCCCAGTGGCGTAACAGCCTGGCTTGGCCAAGCCAAAGCCAGGAGCTTCTTCCAGGTCTCCCACAGGGGTGCAGGGTCCCCAGCACTTGGGCCATCTTCTACTGCTCTCCCAGGTGCACTAGCAGGGGGGCTGGATCAGAAGTGGAGCAGCCCATATGGGACGCCAGCACTGCAGGCGGCAGCTTCACCTTCTACACCACAGTGCGACCCCACTCATTCATTTTCATGCACAACCCCTCAGTCCAAGAACAGAAGGTAGTGTTTGGGAGTGCTGTGTAACTCGGGACCCGACCTGGACTTGAGGACATCACGGAAGGCTTCCTGGAAGAAGTCCCATTGGATCTAAAATCGGAGGAGAACTCGGGAGTAAGCCAGGCTAAGAAGTAGAAGGACACTTCAAGCAGAAGCAACCACCTGTGGGAGGGGCAGAGGGGAGTCCCAGGGGTGTCCCTGGTGGGCGGTGGGCTTGAGGGACGCAGCAGGAGCTGGGGGTCTCCGCAGAGGTTTGCAGAAACCCCTGGGAGGCTCCCGACGGGAGGCAGGGAGGGGCTTTCTCACGCTCACCACTTTACACAAGGAGGCGAGGTGGGAAGACAGGACCTGAGCGGCGGTTCTGGGCAGGGTTGGTTCTGTGCCCAGGGAACATCATGTGGTCACGTGGGCAGCCACAGCTGGTTATCACACTCACCTGGGATGCTGCTAAGCTCCCCACAGTGCACAGGAGGGGCCCCACCACAGGGAATCACCTGTCTCACACTGCCGACGGCACCCGTGGTGAGACACCTTGGCTGGCAGGGAGTCAGGAGCGGGGAGGCCGGTGGAGGGAACAGGACAGTGAGTCTGGGCGGGGACAGGGGGCATGAAGCAGAGTCAGCTGTGAAAAGGGGGTGGGCAGAGGAGTGCTGGGACGGCTCAGCAATGGATCAGCCCTGGGGGAAGAGGGAACAGTGCCCCCCCCCACCAGCAGCCCATCTACTACCCATGGTGCTTCTCACTTCCGTCCTCACCCTCCCGTCCCCACTGCCCTCTTGCTCAGGTAGCACACCTACCACCCATGTGGTGTCCCAGCCTCCAGGAACTCCCCTCTCCACTCCACACTGGGCTGGGGTTCTTACCTCTGCAAAGAGCTCGGCTCTGACCAGCTCACACTCTTGCTCTCAAGTCCCTCCCCAGGGCGCCCCAAGTCCAAGGACATTAACTTTGATGTGCAAGTCCTCCCGCCCCAACTCACCTCCACCAGCTCTGCATCTCCCCCACACCCAGACAGACCCCAACGGCACTTGACACCTTAGTCTTCCATACACTGCTTCTCTGGGGAACACTCCCCTTGCCAATAGCGACGGACCCAGTTCAGGCCCTGGCGACATGCGGAGATGACATGAGTAGAAACTTCTAGAAAAGAGATCTCTGCTGACAACTAGTGGTTCCTGCGAAGTCCCAGTGCCTCACCCTCTGCTAGACACTGTCACATCTGATCAGCAGCCCTCCTGGGGACACCGCCAAGGCGCAGCCTGTGAGGTCAGGGCAGCAGAACCAGAGTCCCCGGCAAGACTGTTGAGCCCGTGCTCTGGCCAGCCCGGAAGCACCCACCTTGGGGATCCCTCGCAGCACGAAGTGGGTTGAGGTTTGCTGTGGCTCATAACCATGAGCATCCTGACCCCTCCCTGGCTCCAGTCCTAGCTCACTCCCAGGTTCTGGATGGGGGTTGAACTTTGCCACCTCTCTGCCTCTCTTTGCACAATTCCCTCTGCCCATCTCGTCTGTGGGAACCTTGTGTCTTCCCTCCAGCACTGACTCCGATGCTCCCGGGAGCTGAGTCCTCCTGTGAGCCCATGGAGCAGAAACAGCGTCTTCCTTCTCTGCCCTTGATCCGCAGCTTTCACCTAGCACTGACCACCCCACGCCACCCTACTCAGCAGAGGCACTGGGCCCCTGCCGCCTGCAGGCTCCAGGGGGGATAGTCCCTGCTGTATCTACACCGGGAGCCCTCCCAGTGCCCTTCGAGTTATTCACCCACCACTGGTCTGCTTCTGATAGCTCCTCTTCCAGCTGTCTGCATTTGCTACGGCCGCCATGGTGAGTTCCTGCAAACCCAGTGACTCAGACGTACATGGATGCAGTAGCAGAATTCTGGAGGTCAGAAACCCAACAGGGATCTCGCTGCACTGAAGTCGCGGGCTCAGCAGAATTTCATTCCTAGAGGCTCCAGGGGACAGTCGGTTTCCTCGTCTTTTCCAGCTTCTAGAAGCCACCTGCATTTCTTGGCCCACGGCCCCTTCCTCCGTCTTCATTGCCAGCAATCACATCAGTCCAACATCTGTGTCCGCCACTAGGGCTCTGTCTCTGCCTCTGTCTCATAAGAACTGGAGCGATTACACTGGGGCCACCCAGATAATCCTGGGGACTCTCATCGTAAAATAATTAACTTGATTCCACCATCAGAGTCCTCTTTTTTGCCACGAGAGGTAGCGTATCCACAGGTCCCAGTGGTTAGGATGTGGACGTGGGGCATTGGCGTGACCTTATTCTGCCTAAGCCCTCAGTGACAGCTCTGAGCTAAACAACCAAAAATTCATTAGAAGGACAACAGTGTCTTCAAGATCAGTACAAGGACCTCATGGTCCAGCCAAGCTCCTAAATATTGCAACACAAATTTCCAGTTTGGTTTTTCTCGGTATTTAGCCAAGCAGGGCTGAGTTATCTGGGGTCATAAAAGACTTGGACCCAGAATTGGGACAAATAAAGCAAAGATCTGGTTTCAGAGGCTGAGGGACAGAGAGAGCTGATGCTCAGACCTAAAGCCCTCATCAGCTCATCAGCTCCAGGGTTGGTCCTAGCACAAGGGGTGACTCCCAGCAGCTCCCAAGGGGAGGGAGCAAAGAAATTGACGCTCAGTGAGAACCGCAACATTCAAAACTGGTCTGTTCTCTCCCCTGCTTTCTGTTACCAAGAGGAGCACTTCACCATGAATGTGGATGGTTGGTAACACGTTACTGCATGTTTGTAAATATTTGCTAATTTATTTATCTACATTTGAAAGGCAGAGGGAGAGAGGGAGACAGACAGACAGACCGACTGTCCATCTGCTGGTTCTCTTCCCAAGTGGCCTCAACAGCCAGGTCTGCGCCAAGCCAAAGCTAGAAGCCAAGAACTCCACCCTGGTCTCCCATGTGCGTGACAGGGACCATCCTCCGTTGCCACCTCAGGCGAATTCACAGCGACCTGGATCAGAAGTGGAGCAGCTGGGACGCTTCGATATGGGACGCCCGTGTGGTAGGCGGCGGCTTCACCCTGCTGCTCTGATCTGCAACGCCTGTCCTAGCAAGCGGCTCTTTTATCTTCTAGAAGTTTCCCGGTAAACAAGAACCTCAGCCATGGAAGAAATCGCAGGCCTCGTGACAGGCTGAGGGAAGCACCTTCTCCAGGCCTGGGATGGCGAACCTGGTGACCAAGCCCCTCCACAGCCACCCCGGTCAGCCTTGCACCCCATAGCAGGCGGAGCTCACCTGCACCTGTGTACTTCTCCAAAGCCAGGCCCAGGGCAGCACACCCCGGCACGGCTGGCATCTACCTGAGTAGACTCCAGCAAGGGCCAGCTCATTTGCACCCTGAGAAGGCCCCTCTAAGAGAGAGAGAGGAGAGAGTAAACAGAGCTTTACAAAACTTTAAAGTGGTTACGATCAAAATAATCAAAGCAGAATCATTGCCTCCAATTCCCCTTTGAAGCTATTTCACAAACTGAATTCCATTCCTTTGACCAACTTTCCCAATCCGCACATATTTACCTTGCGGGGGCGGCAGGAGACATGCTCAGAGCCCCACCCCTGTGACCAGCCCCAGAACACAAACCCCTTGAAGCCACCCCGGGGTCCCCTCCAACAGAACCTGGGTCTAGGCAGCAGCTGAAATGCTCACGCCCCACACGGCTCCCATTGTACAGATGAGAAACACTGAGGCTCAGAAAAATCTAGAAACTTTCCGGAGGTGCTCAACCAGCTGCCAAGGAACAGGGCTGGCGCTGGAGGGAAAGCCAGTTGCTCTCCAAGCCCAGGGCGCTGCCGCTACAGGAGCAGTTCTCCAACCTTAGGGGCTGGGAACTGGTTACCCTTAGAAGCTATGGAAGCCCCTAACATGCTCTCATATTTGTGGACTGCTCCTGACACGATTTGATATTTGCTGTATCAGACTTGAAAAATAAGATCATTTTAATCCCGGGGCCAGTGTCATGGAGCAGCCAGTTAATATGCTGTCTACAATGCCAGCATCCCATGTGGGCGCCAGTTCCAGTCTCAGATGTTCTACTTATGATCCAGCTCCCCGCTGATTCTAAGACAACAGAAGATGGCCCAAGTGCTTGGGCCCCTGCCACCCACGTTGGAGACTCGGATGGAGTCCTTGGCCCCTGGCTTTCACTTGGCCCAGACATGGTTATTACGGCCATTTGAGAAAAGAACCAATAGATGGAAGCTCTCGCGCGCGCGCTCTCTCTCTCTCTCTCTCTCTCTCTCTCTCTTTCTCATCTCTGTCACCCTGACTTTCAAATAAATCAATAAATCTTAAACAATAATAAATAAATCTTTGGTCTTTATTGTTTCCCCTAAAATAGCAGTGGTAAACCCACTGCCCGTGACCAGCAATGGTATCTGGGCAAGAGGAATCTCCCTGTGTTCTAAAACCGAAAACAAGTGAGAAGGATGAGATTGTTTTCGCTTTGCAAGTCTGAATGCGGGGCTTGCGAAAAGCCAGGTGGACTTTTGCATCTGCTTCTGTATTCAGTGTTTTGCAATGTGCTGTTTGGGTTTGAGGATGTGAAGAAAGTCCTCGGATCTCACAGGTCCTCTGAGAGCATTCCCGAGCCGGACGCGGAGATCTGCACTCCCGCATTTCTGAGGCTCCAAACCAAAGCTCCGGAAACTGCGCTTGCACAACCGACAGGCTTACTCTGTTTGCCGCAGGAATAAATGTGTCAAGTCCAGAGCGGAACTGGGGGAGGGAAAGCAAGGGTCAAGTCTTCAGTCTCAAAGCACGTGCAGGCTTTATCCCTGGACTTCAGTTATCCAGGTCCTCAAGCAGAGGCAGCAAAACTTTCCAACCCAGGGCTGCTGTGAATGGTCGTGCAGGCTGTGGACTCGGCGCTATCTAAGATGCTGAGGGAAGACAGGAACCGGTGTGTGCTGCCCAGCAAGACTGCGCCTAGAACAGGGCTGGAAAAGGGGGTGGCTTCCTGATTCGCACAGCACTGCTGGTTGTACCAGCAGCAGCGGGCCTTACCCAGTGAAGTGTGAGTTCCCTAAATACATATAGGTGTGCCGAGAGGCACGGAAGTCCCCAATTCTTGGAGAAAGTGCCTGGCGATGCTGCAGCCGCCCAGGGGCTGAATCAAGCCGTGAGCGCTGCAGAGACTGTAGGCGTGAATCCTCACTCTAGTGCATCTTCCACAGCCTGGGCCTATCTCGGGGTCAAGTGCAAACCCAGAGAATGACAGCAGGCAGTCACACAGAGTGACACCCGCCATCTACGCTGCCAGGGGCACCCTGCAAAGGGTACCAAAGAAGCAGGCAGCATGGCCCCTGTTCTCTGTGGTGTGACAGTGTTTCTCAGCCTCAGGGGTTTGTTCCCCCAGAGGACACCTGCCAGTGTCCCAGGCTGTGTTTGCCACCTATCCGGTTGGTTGTCACAACCCTGGGGGGGAGGCAGCCCCCTGGCATTTCGCAGGCAGAGGCGAGGGGTGCTGCTAAGCCTTTGCCACAGCAAAACCACACACAGCCCAGAATGCGAACAATGCCCAAGCCGAGCAAGCACAACACAATGAAGACTACACTCTCTCAGCTCAGACTGGGTTCAAATCCCAGCTCTGCACTTTGCAATTCGCTTTCCTTTTTAAAGATTTATTTATCCATTCATTTGAAAGGCAGAGTGACAGAGAAAAAGAGAGAGAGGGAGAGAGAGAGACAGGTGGATCTTTCTTTCACATACTGGTTCACTTTTGTTTTTAAGGATTTTATTTATTTATTTGAGAAGTAGATTTACAGACACAGAGAGAGAGAAATAGAAAGAAAGTCTTCCATCCATTGGTTCAATCACCAAATGGCCATAACGGCCGGAGTTGGGCTAATCCAAAGCCAGGTGCCAGGAGTTTTTCTGGGCCTCCCATTCAGATGCAGGGGCCTAAGCACTTGGGCCATCTTCCACTGCTTTCCCAGGATATAACAGAGAGCTGGATCGGAAGAGAAGCAGCCGGGATGTGACCCAGAGCCCACATGGTATGCAGGCGCCACAGGCGGAGGCTTAGCCTTTTATACCATAGCACTGGCCCCAGGTTCACTTTCCAAATGACCACAACAGCCAGGTCTGGGCCAGGCCAAAGACAGGAACCTTGAACTCCACACAGGTCTTCCACATGGCTACCACATACGGGTGGATGGCGGGGGCCCAAGCACCCAAGTGCTTCTGGGAGACCCAGAAGAAGCTCCTCACTTCTGGTGTTGGCTTGGCCCAGCTCTTGCCTTCATGGACATTTGGGGAGTGAACCAGCAGATGGAAGACCTCTCTTTCTCCCTCCTCCACTCCTGCCCCACACTGCCTTTCACATAAATAAATAAATATTAAAAAAATTAATTGGGACTGGGGCCTCTGGTGGGACGGGACCTGGGTGGACCTCCAGTTTCTCAGCAGGGGTTCCAGACGGGGCCAAGGCCACAGCAGCACCCTTCCTCCCCCCCCTCCATCCTCTGAATCCCTTGGGACTCATTCCCACCTGATGGGCACTGCCTCCCTCCACCCCGACCCCCGAGAGTTCCAGAGCCTGAGTAGCCCCGGGCCTTGCCTCCCCAGGCTGCTCTCGTGGGGCTTCTGCACCTGAGCCTTCGCAAGTGTATTTCCAGCCCTTCGAGGCCTTGCTTCTCTCCATGGATCCCTGCTTCCTAAAATGTGCCACAAAGTTCACCTCCTCCAGGAAGCCTTCTCTGATTGCTCCCACCGGCCACACACACTGCCTACCCATCAGCATTTAGAGGGGACTTGGGTTCTGTAGGCGTGCAGACTCACCAAGCAGGACCATACAGGGGCTCACAGCAAACCACAGTGGTGGGGTATTATTCATTGCACCCACAGATGTAGCTCCTGCCTTTGTTAAATATCAACCATGAATTAGCGAATCACTGGATGTGCGGAAACTGCATTTACGCTCAGGCCACTCTCGGGGACCAAGGTGAGGGGCCTTGTGCTCCTGTTTAGTCACTGACATGTTCTCTTTTTTTTTTTCTTTTTTAATTTTTGACAGGCAGAGTGGACAGTGAGAGAGAGAGAGACAGAGAGAAAGGTCTTCCTTTGCCATTGGTTCACCCTCCAATGGCCGCCGCGGCCAGTGCGCTGCGGCCAGCGCACCGCACTGATCCGAAGGCAGCAGCCAGGTGCTTCTCCTGGTATCCCATGGGGTGCAGGGCCCAAGCACTTGGGCCATCCTCCATTGCACTCCCGGGCCACAGCAGAGAGCTGGCGTGGAAGAGGGGCAACCTGGACAGAATCCGGCGCCCTGACCGGGACTAGAACCCGGTGTGCCGGTGCCGCAAGGCGGAGGATTAGCCTAGTGAGCCACGGCGCCGGCCAACATGTTCTCTTGAAAGGAAGCCGCATTCACTCTTCCCCCTCCTTTCTCCTTTTGACGGGAAAAACACAAACACGTGACATGAAGCATTTCTTTTCTTTTTGGAAAAAAGAAAACGCAAGTCCCTCTCCCCACCCATAAGCCTTCCTATTTTGAATGTCCCTTCCTCCGTTCCATGCACCCAAGGGACGTTTGCTGGCTGCTGGGCTGTGAACTTCCAGAAAGGAACTAGAGGCTGATGTCCCTTGCTGGGCGGCTGGCCCAGGGCCAGTCCATGGCAGACACAGGGGACAGGGCTGTGGCTGCCATTGCTGCCGCCACCAGCTGGCCAGGGCCCCACTGCTCTCCCTGGGCTCCTGGGCCACGCCCCTCGCATTTGAGCCTCACAGCCACCGCCTCACAAGGTGGGTGTTCTGTCTACATCACAGGAGAAAGCCCGTTAAGTGATGTGTCCTAAAGACGGCAGGGGATGGCACTGAGCTGCAGCGGGTTGCACCGCCGCTTGTGACACCGGCAACCACATCAGAGTGATGGTTCAAGTCCCAGCTGCTCCACTTCCGATCCAGCTCCCTGCAATTGCACCTGGGAAGGCAGTAGAAGACTTCTTGCTTTGTGGAAAAAAGAACCCCTCCTCATTTAAACTGCCACGGGTTGGGTTTTCCATCACTTGCTACTGGACACACTCCTTTAAAAAGATTTATTTATTTATTTATTTATTTATTTGAAAGTCAGAGTTACACAGAGAGAGAAGGAGAGGCAGAGAGAGAGAGAGAGGTCTTCCATTTGCTGGTTCACTCCCCAAATGGCCGCAACAGCCAGAGCTGCACCAATCTGAAGCCAGGAGCTAGGAGCTTCTACCAGGTCCCCCACGCAGGTGCAGGGGCCCAAGGACTTGGGCCATCTTCTACAGTTTTCCCGGGCCATAACAAAGAGCTGGATCAGAAGTGGAGCAGCCAGGACTTGAACCAGCGCCCATATGGGATGTTGGCAAGGCAGGCAGCAGCTTTACCTGCTATGCCACCGTGCCGGCACCTGGACACACTCTAAATGCACTACTCAAATCCTCTCGTTACACCCCACCCAAAACACACACGGCCACCATGCCCCAACTTAGCGTCAGTGTTTAATACCACTGGGCCTCACGGTCACTCTCTCACTCCTCACGTCTCCCCCAAGCCCCAGGAGCCACTACATGGACCCGTCCCCAAACCTAATGGCTTGGCCCACAGGGGGCTGCAGCCTTGGTTCTGTGACCGGATCTCCTGAAGCGGCTCCCCTCCCTCCGCGGTCCCCAAGCTGCCTAACCCTGCCATTGGGCAGTCACTTCTCCCCAAAGCCACCTAGTGTCAGCTCTCCCTCCTCTTTTTGAAGTTAGGACACATGTCTCTCTCAGAAGTCCCACATCCCTCCCCCCCCACCATGGAGCAGAGAAACTGCTCTCTGGGAAAAAACAACAACACAACAACAAAACCTCTGCCTTCTCTTTGCGCACTTCATTTCAAAACCCTGGGACAGGACGACCATGTGGCAAACACAGTGTTGGGCAATGCCCCCGGGGGCCAAAAAAGACACTCAGGGAACATCCTCCACCCAGGGACGAGCTAATCGGGACGAGCCAGGGCCTTGGAGTGCCTGGACCGGCCGCCTCACTTGGATGCGGAGCAGAGGGGATGGAGAAGGAGCCCAGACGCTGGGACAGAGCCCTCTCCGTGCCAAGGCTGCCAACCTCTCGCAATTATGCATCTGTCTCTCCAGATGTTGCACCCACCGCCCTACAGCATGGTCCCACCTGCAGACTCCTCTCCCCTCTCGCTCCCGGGGAGGAGCCCACCCCCCCATCTGTACTTCCAGCTCTGCCCTGGCTGAGAACTCAGCAGCGGGTCCAGACCCAGGCCAGCACAAGACAGGACGGAGCTGCTCGACCTTGCCAAAGGCATTCACCTCCTCTTGGCAAAACTGGGGCAATAACCATCCATACCTTGGGGCAGGCATTTGGCCAGCAGTTGGGATGTTGCTTGAGACTGCCACGCCCCATGTCAGAGCACCCTGGGGCCCATACCTGCCTCCAGCTCCCTGCTCATATGGACCCTGTGAGGCAGCAGATGATGGCTCGGGTAGTCGGGTCCCTGCCTCCCACCTGGGAGACTTGGATTGAGTTCCTGCCTCCCAGATTCAGCCTGGCCCAGTCCCAGCCATTGCATCTGGAAAGTGAATAAGCAGGTAGGACATTCTCTCTCTTCCTCTCTCTCTCTTTCTTTCTCTCTCTCTTAAAATTTATTTATTTATTTGAAATGCAGAAATATTTGTTTATTTGAAAGGCAGAGGCACAGAGAGATAGAAAGAGAAAGAGATGTTCCATCCTCTGGTTCACTCCCCA